TATATATAGATCACTTTTCTATAAAAATTAAATATAATTTTTATACAGTTTAAAAATAAAGTTTTTTCTGTTTTTATTATTTAAAAGATCTACTGTATTATTAATTCATATTTTTTTTATTAAAATGAAACAATTGTGTAATTATAGTTATTTCAAATTTAAGAGTTAGACTGCACAACTGTAATTTTGGTAGTATTAGTATTAGCTCTTTATATAGCTCATTTTGACACAAGAATTACTTGAAAATATTTTTATTGAATTATATACATGCCTATAATTTTGTATTATTTATAATTCATTATGTCATTATTTCTGGAAACATTTCTTGTTACAAATTAATAATACGATATCTATATATGATATTTAATTTCTTAAATATTTTTGGTTATATAAATGATTATTTCCAATTATACATAGTTGCTATAAATTCTTTTTTGCCAGTAAGATTTAATTTGCCAATAAGAAATATTTTATACACCAGAAGATTTTTTTAAATCAATTTTTTTTTAAATAAATTTATCTTTACATATTAATTTGAAATATGGAAAAATTTTATCAATTGATATCTGTAGAATATTTTTATGATTAATTTTTTTTATATCATTTAAAAATTTGTGTATTTTTAAAAATTAATACATATATATATTAATACATATTATATAATATATATTAAATTGTTTTTAATAATATAAGTGTATAATTTGGAATACCATATGAAATTATTTTAATTTAAATTAAATTTTAATATAATTATTTTAATATTAATAAAAATTACTGATAAAAATTTCCAGAAACAAATATTTTGAAGAAACGTATTATGTATTTTCAAGAAGTAAAAATTAAACTATCATGTGCAATGTAATCACAAGATTTCACCATTACAATTATTTTTTACTGTTTGTTTGATAATACTTATTTCATTTAATTATTTAAATTGCTTAAATAAAATGTTTGATAGTTTCTAAAGTTTTTTATCTTATGCATTCATAGTTGCTGAAAATTAAATATAAACGTGAAATAAACCAAACGAATTAACTTCACTATAAAGAATGGTTTAATGATCGCCATATATTGCTTTTCTTTCAATTTCATCTTTATAAATGCGTAATTATTTAAATAAAGGTTCTGAGCATATTATTTAAAGTTATTTCATCATAATTACTGTGTGAAACACGAAATTTAGATGAAATTCTGAATGAAATTGAACGAGTACATGAATGAAACAAAAAAAGAGATGCTAATTGTAATAATAAATTTTATTAGATGTAATTATAACATACGGATTTTAAAGTTGCGACGTTGCTTTTACATTAAAGTTAAATTGTGAAAGACAGCGATGATGAAATGTCCGAGTTTTCATACTGAATTTCCAAGTCTGATTTTGTATCTGAAATATTAAATATTCAATATTCATTAAATATTCAATACAATATTAAGTAGAATATAAATAATTTAGTACAATATTATAATACAATAATTTTCAATAAAACGTTACATTTATGTGACATTGATCTCAGATTCAGTTGAGTTTGGGACGATCCAAAATCTAGCATCAAGACAGTTTGATTTTTCACGAGTAAAAAAAAAGACCATTTATAAAATTAAAAATTAAGTCACTGCGTTCTTCGCGGAGGTTTCATGTACTATTTTAAGTAAATATACGTTAATTGCGTACAATTTAAAAAAAATAGTGGCCATCGTAACACGACAGTCAGTGTATTAATGTAATAAAAAACACATAGTATATTTAATGAGAAATTTAAAAAGAATTAATGAAGTATGTATATAGCATAAATATACAATTATCAAAATTGAAAAAATGTTCTAACAATTTGTAAACATCGTATCTAATTTTGTCACAGATTGATACAATGTTTGTATCAATATACGTCCTTTTTAATCAATTTTGATAATTGTCTAAGAAATTTCTGGTACGTAGTTAAAAAGAAAATTAATTCAAAATGGAATTTTAATTACCGTGTATCTGTTCAGTCCAAAAGATCTCTCTGTAACTTTTCCATCGACAAAGTTTCAACGTTGCGTTTTCATCGTATTCACCGCTTTGTAATAACAAATCGATATATTTCTCGATTCTCTCTTGCCCTTAAAAGAGATACTATCATTACATACATTACATACATTAAATACTGGAGAGATTAAAAATTTTTATCGAACTTAAAATGAGTAGTAATCCATAATTAAGTATTCAACATTATGATACAACTTACGTTATATAAATACTTATATAAGTTGTTAAAATATGTAACATAAAATAAATAGTAGCTGTATTTCTATATATGTGAGTAAAGATTTTAAGTAATCAAAAATGTAGCAGCATGTGAATACTGTATACCGATGTTTCCTCTTTTCATCGAAATGAAAAAGTAGACATAACAATTAGGTATTTAAGTTTATGTATTGTATAGACATATGATTTTTTAAAAAATAGAACAACCTTTAGAAATTCCTGCAATACATCTTGCTCGATCAGCTTCGTTGGTCAAGTTAAGTCTACTGTATAAGTTTAGTGATGTTTCCAAATGACTGGTCGATAGATATAACTTTCCCTGCACGAAAAATTCTTTTATTTTTCACTTGCTTTAACGTTTTTTGTGTTGTATGAATTATTTCAGTTTATTAAATGACTAAGCACTTTTCATTGTAATCTTCTTTTTATTTCATTCCTTTACCTGACTTAAATAATGTTCGCCCGTATAATAATGTGCATTGGCAAGTCTATCGACGAGGCCGAAATTTTCTGCGTTTTCTCGACACATTCGCAAGTGTTTCTCCGTGTAATCATTATTATTTAATTGCTGTACGTAAGATGAGACAAGTATCATTTACATCTTAAGAAAGATGACATTGCGCTTAAGAACAAAAGGAAGGATTACTTTGTACGCAAAAGCCAGTTCCATGTGTGCATTACAAATACCCTCGACATCCGAAATTCTTTTGGCAAAAGCTAATAATTTCGAGAAGCTTTTTAACGCATTTTTAATATCGTTCACAGCGATGTAACATTTCCCGAGCTCGCGAAGAGCTTCATTTACATATCCAGTGTCCTCAGCTGTTTCCAATTTTATTTCCGTTAATAATTTTAATAATTTTTATATTTTCCACGAGTAAATAGAGATTAATGAAATTTACCATCAGTTGCTCTCTTTACAGCCTCATTGCAGACTTTCAAAGCTGTATCGGGATTTTGGAGACGTTCCTTGCGAACGAAAGTCAATAGAGCTTTATACAAGAGGATGTTGCATTCTTTAAAAATGCAGTTTTGCTTTATTCCCAGTTTCATCGATGCGTTCCATATCTTATTTTCCGAATCTTCTCGCGCCTTGTTTAGATAATCTAGAGCTTCTGTAGGATTCTCTACTGTTTATACACGTGATCGAAAGTATAATTTTTTCAAGGGAGTTCAAGGTATGAAAAGGTTTGGCATCTACTATCATTACTAACATTGATAAAAAAGAAATCGACCGTATAAGTAACGTATAAACGTGATCGTTTCAGCATCGTCATTGTCTATCAACTTCGCAGCTGAAAGGGCAGATCGATAAAGACGTTCGCCTAACCACCACCATTCCCACGTTTTCGATTGAAAGAACAGAGCCATGTCTAGAAGTGTCGTTGCTTGTGCAAGGTAGTCACCTATGTAAATTATTTACTTAATCGGTAAAATTGCATACAGTATCTACGAGAAGAGATCCAGTGGAATTATATTCTTTCATACCTTTGCTCTTACTCTTTTCGGATGCGACTAATCCATTTTTTAAACATATTATAATATCTCGTTGATCTTTCAAAGATGGCTTTTTCCACGACAATGATCCAAGCATCTTTTCTGTAAGTTTTCCATCGAAATCTAAAAGTCCCGCCAAGTAATCAAATGATTCTCGATATCCCTGCTCTTTAAGTTCGAGGAGGATCGCTTCATAATACGGCATATAAAATCTATTTGGATATCGTACTCGATAATACTTTTATAAATATGTTCGTATTATTTTTGTTTCTATATTTCGAATATACGACATAATAATAATAATAATAATAATAATAATAATAAGAACCTTCTCACTTCCTTAGGACTTATATATGGTAATGCGGCTTTTATGTCGTCAATAACCTTATTTATTTCTGTCCCTTGAGCTTGCGGCAAAGTTTTTAACTTAGTTGGCGAGTTCACAATATATTCGGTGAGTTTACTGGCCGAGCTATTTGACCATTCTGTGCAATTCTTTTCCTTCAGGAATTCTGCTGCCATTGGTTCAAGCGTTTGCTTTCAAAAATACAAAACACGGCCGGGGAAGTGAAATGGAGAAAAAGTGGGATGTAATAATAACCGTATTCTCGGATTTCGCAACGCTACGGCTGCATAATTTATTGCATAAGATAAATATCAACGTAAGTAGTAAATATGTCCATCCACGGTTGACAAAAATATACACACATTTGTACACAACATAAAATCTGAGGGGAGAGTTTTCCGCACATGCGCAATGGTTTTCAACGAGTTGCGTTTGTACATGCGACGAAATAGTACCTACCGATCGCGTGAAAAACTTGCCGTAATTTGTAATTTTCGTTTGCAATGAAAATTCTTTTTTGTATTAGCTCGTCTTTTAGTAGCTTTATGCGGTGGCAGCTACCGTTTTCCTTGGCTCGAGCTTGATCTTGAAACCATCGGCTCTCTTCAAGATGATGTCGGCTTGTAGTCTGAAATCGGATTCTTTCACGTCAGATCTTACGCGGAAGTTTCTAAGGATTGTCGACAGCACGATTTTCAATTTCAACATTGCGTATTTTCTTCCTACACAGGATCGCGGCCCGGCAGAGAATGGTACGAACGCATAGTAGTGACGGTTCGCGGTGTTCTCTGGCAAGAAGTTGTCAGGGTTGAAGACGTCAGGATTAGGATAGATGTGTGGTTGTCGGTGCAACTTGAAGGTACCAATGACAACTGTGCAGCCAGCTGGGATGGTATAGTCTCCACTCGCTGAAATTTTCATTAATTTTGTTAATGAGATCTGTCCTTGGTAAAAAAAAAAAAAAAAAAAAA